AAACTACAGAATTAAAATTGTCATAATACATCGTATACTGAAATTTCCTTTGTCACCTTGCAGGCTGATGTTGTAATTTAAAAGTGTGCTATAAACTGTGATGAAATTTTAAAATGTGCTATGCCATTTTATATTATATGAACGAATTATCTTCTGTAGGTCAAACAACACCATATGTTCGAGTCTTGGCAGAAAATTTACAGTTGGGCCTTGATTACAAATTTGTTCTTGTTGTAACTTTACCAACACAGAGCTTACTGACAGCAGCACATACTGTGACTAGAGTAGCATACAATGCTCCAATTGTATCAGTTTACTCAAGTACACTTTTGCCAGGCAACATTTTGAATGTAAATCAGCAGTAAGTAAGAAGTTTTTTCATGCCTTTTTTGATATTTTCTTTATCACTTTATCTTCTGTTAAGATTATTGAGGAATTAATTAGTGGTAGTATTGCTTGTTGTATTCTTTAAAGAGATTGAAAACGCTATTCAAATGTAATTTGATGAAAGCAAAAACAACAATTTTATGCTTTGAAAGAACTTGCCAGTGGTGAACAAAGGTCCACTTATGTTAGTGCAAAGAGATTCCTGCACCTTTAACATGTCAGACTTGGAGACATCCAATAAGATTGCAATTTAACGTATTACTATAACAGAATTTTGTTAAAGTGTGCTTATAAAACCAAGTGATTTTTTCATGCTAAAACATCCCTTATCTGTCTCGTTTCATATCTCATATTTTGTAAAATTGGAAAGAACTGTTATAGTTTTGGTTTATGGGACTGTGAAATCTCTCTTGTGATTTATCTTGAAATTAGGGTTTTTTAATTTTTTGCAACTTATATTAGCATAAAAAATTAATTTTGAAACAGTACGTATACTGTACCTTATGCATTTGCTTGTTTCCTTTTAATGGATCCACCCACAAGATGTGTACATTTAGTTGGTTCAACTAAATATTTATATGCCACTGAAAGACTATGGACAATGATTAGGTTTTATTTTTATTATTTTTTATACATGTTAGGAATAATTGTAACTCATTGTTGGTTACACTTATTTAAAACTCATATGTATATATATGTATGTATAAATAGATAAACATAAAAGATTGGTTATAGAGTAATTTATTTTTATCAGTTAAGTTCTTAAACTGTGGATACATGAAATGTTTAAACTTTTTTATATAATTCAACCTTATGGATTAACATTTTTTTATCATCATCAATTAAACATTCCCAAATGAAATACATTTTGATTCCTTTGTTGCTTAAAAATGTGAGACCAAAATATAAATCAATGACTTGGGAACTTAATCTTTATTTGTTTATTTTTTTAGTTTACTTCGTGGACCTTAGATTTATAAGCAATGCGACAACTCTGTTTCGAACAAAATTTTTAATTATGATGCTTACATATACATGATTGGCTTCGAAGAATAACAAAACAAAAGAGTAAGTTTCCCATTTGATTGTTGATTATAATTTTTTGAAGACTTGTGGTGAATCATCCATAATGACATTATATTATTTTGCATCAGTTATTTTGGTTCAAGGAAACATTTTCTAGTTGAAGATTGTAATTCTTCTAAACTAAAACATAAGGGGGTAGGGAATTTTGATGAACTATGAATAATTGGATTGTCTTTAGTTAATACTCACATTTTGTATTTAAAAAAATTAATTTCTGTTATTTCTGAATATCTTTCTAGGCTACAGCTGTTTGCTGAGACTTTTTTACCAGATTGCATTAAACTTCCAAAACCTATACGGTTTGCATGGGCTTTGGATAATCCTCATGTCAGGTTTGACTTTAGCAGGATTTATTTTCCTATTTACAAAGCAGATCCTTTCACTCTTCCAGGTACTATATATTTTATGTATAATAAAGAGGTATTGTTTTTTTTAATGTATTCCATTTTTGATGATAAAAGTTTCTCACTTATTGCATAATTAATTTCACAGTAATCCTTAATATTTGATTTTTTTCTATTTTGTGTTATTTTTTCTGGAAACAGAATTTGTAGAGTGTTTTTCTTGTTATGATTTTAATAGCTTTATATCTTTCTTTTATTTGATTTTGGAAATTCCAAAAACTTCATTTTTGACCAACACATTTTGTAATTTTACAAGTAATAATAGAAGATGAAAGTTTACTGCATTTGTTTCTTTTTCTTTCATTTACAACAAATCTGTATAATCACCTTTTTTTACATCTTACGGGTATTGTCAGTTAATCTTTGTAATGCTACCCTGATTATTAATAGATGTACACTACATAACCAAACTTTTAGGACAGCATACTCTAAGTTAGTAATTTCCACTTAATTTGATTGTGAATTCAATAGTGCTCTTGCTGTTTAGTATCTAAAAAGAACAGCAGCTGATTAATTGGAGTTAAAATGCAACACGGTAAAGAGCTGAAGCTCCTTCAAAGGGGAATGGTTATTGGATGCAGCATTGGTGTTGTGAGTGGCTGACTTATGTAAGAACTGCAGACCAGCATAACCTCTGCATCCAAGAAGCCTTCACTGCTAGTTTTCATGGATGAGTTGCAGCCCATAAGCCACTCATACAGCTATGAGTGCAATGTACTAGTTTTCAAAGTGCCTTTAGGTTGAAAATTAGGTTAAAGAATGATAAAGAATGTGAGAATGATAAATTCTCATTGTTTGCTTCAAATTAATGAATTTTTATTTTAAATCAGTTTGAAGAATTTATTAAATGGATCTGTGTTGTTCCAACAGTGAAAAGTAGTTCTGTAACACCTTTTTAACCAGTTTTTACTTGACCCACTTGTAGTAGGTAAGAGAACCATGAACATTTTTCATGATCTGACATTATGCATAATTCTGCACTGCTTCATTGGGGTGATCGTATCTCTTTCAGTATGATA